TCAGCGCCTCAGCATACAGCTGACTTCCTTCCATCGTGAAGCGTCGAGCATAATTGCCCGACGCCCCTGAATCGATTAGGATCTTCCATGGCTTCTTAAAGCCCTTTACGGTCGCCTCCACGACCAGCAAGCCCCGCTTGCATACACGTTCCGTGTTCAAGAGCACGGAGCTCATCGGGGCAGGACCCTGTTGACCTATGCCTCCCTGAGGCTCAACAGAACTTGGTTCTTTCCCAGTAGGTCGCCCCGCGCCTACTGAGTAGTGTCGTTTTCCCGCGACGAACCAGACTGGTAGGCGCTAGGGCGATGGCTCGAAGAACCTTTACGCGCCTTGCGCAGGGGGCACCCGCCCCGAAGGTGACGGGTGTCTCCACAGACAAAACACCGTCGTTTATTTGTGTGCTGCTCGGCAGCTCGGATCTCTGCTCCCTCGTCCTCAATATAGCTGAGATCCAAGGGCATAGGCCCGCTCGACGAGCTGTTGAAGTGTGCATTATAACCAAGACGTGCCGACTTGAAATTGAAATCGGCATTCAATGCAATATTCACCGCTTCTTTAAATGAAGACGGATGCACACGGAAGACTTCCATTCTGGCCACGCCAGGCGGAGGAGGCCTTCCATTCTGGCCACGCCAGTGCGGAGGAGGTCTTCCATAAAGACGGTCGCTGTGACCGCCTCCGAAGTGGATCTGCTGACATCCCGATAATGAGAGTGCGCATTTCTTGGACAAAGTCCACCAATTCCTTGTTGCCCTGTCGGGTGGCAAGGAAACACGATCGCACGCGATTTGACTGATTAGATGGCGAGAACACTCGTGAGAGCTGCAATTTCAGCTCCGCCCAGGAAGGAAACGCAGCTTCGACCGAAGTGCCGCACGTCATTCTCGCGCTCGACCACCGAACTTTGAGATGGCTAGCACCACGCGCGCGCTGTTGCTCGATCTGGAGCATGGTAGATGCGATGGCCATCTCGACCTCTCTGAGCAGGAGATTCTCTCCATCCTTCTGCTGAAAGATCTTAACGCCCACCATGAGCGGCTTAGGGCGGGGTGAGTCATCCGTTACTGGCGGTGGCGTCATAGACGCAAATGATGCAGACATCTTCAACTGCAGGTGCTCTAGCAGCGCGTTTTCGTAATTTGAAAACGCCACTAGACGCGCACCGATTGCCCGGGGCCTTGCGCCGCAAGGTATTGCACGCCCTCAGGGCCCAGCAAGGACATCAGCCTTTTAAGCCCGTCCTGCATGCCCTGGGGTAAAGAGGAAAATCTTTTCATCCTCACAGAGGATCAGTCTAAACGACTCAGATGTAGATTGACTACAAGTGCTACCAAGTGCAGCGGGGCTGCCGTAGCTTTGCGCTTTCAAGAAGCGTAAGATAGGTCTCCGACCTCTCGTTCTATACTCAGAAAAAGTACGAGTTTCGCTTACTTCAAGAGTAATTATAGCCTTAAATCAAGGCTAATTAACTCTTCGGTTCAATTTCAAAAACTGACATTTTTGTTTTTATCTGCGGCAAAGCCGCCAAATTTTAAAAGCATAGATTTTTCTAAATATATAGTTAAATCTAAATACATGCATAACAACCCCCGTTACCGTATTCTTGTGTGGCTGTGGTCACACCATGCCCGTCTGGTGTGACACACACCCCTGTTACCAGGGTATGTGTAGCCCCATCACAGTTCATGTGATACTCACTCGCCCCTGGCGAAACCGCTGCGGGTAACGATGAGCTCTTTGAGCGATGGGTGGAGCGGCACCGGAAACAGTCTTCGCTGTCTACCTTACAGCGAATCCACAAGCAAACGGACGCGCGCGTTGAGCGCGCATCTTAGATTTGGGTTTGCAAACTCAAGGCGCGACGCCGACTTACCTGTGTATTGTCGCTCTGCGACATATGCAGCAATCCATGACGCTCCTGCAAGCTCTGTATTTTCTCACACGGGTGAGTCAAGCTCACAGCAGCTCAGGGCTGTAGCTTGAGCTCAACTTATGGCCATCCGGCTTCTTGGGCTACTGCCAAGAAGCGCGGTGCGCAAGACGACGCAAAGCGTCATGATCCTTCTGATCTTAGGCGTCTACGACGTCTGCGAGTGCAAAGTTGAAAGCTCACGCTTAATTAAATGGCTAAATGGCAGGCGTCTTGCTTTTGTGATAATTCACGCGAGACATCTCCCATTTTTAGATTGTGAAAAGGGCGAATTATCTCTCTAATTCTAGCGCAGTGATGCCTTAGCATGAAAAGTTCTCGTGAAGTCGTGCTATTTATCCACTCATTCGGGTTTTAAGGCAGTACGCCGTTACTGCAATGAAAGCGATTGCCGTTGCTTGACTTATTTCAATCAAAATGGCTTGCAACAAAGTGTGAAAGGGGAATAGTCATGGGTGTAACCGTGGTACATGCGATCAAAGCTGTCTCACGATTCCAGCTTCTTTTCAGCTTGGTTATTAATACTGTACTGATTTTTATAACATCAGCACATAATTCGCTTGGCATTCGTAACGGTCGTTTTTAATAAAGGTTCTAATGAACAATTTAAACTAGTTTATAGGCCTCACAAAGAAGATGTACACCTTTTATTTATGACTTTTTTGGTCAAAACAAGACGGCATACAGACGGACTTCAATCACAAACCTCTTGAATGATTCATGGTTCTAGCAGAAATAGAAAAGTCGGCTTCGCGCTTTATCGCTACAAGTGACTACACCGCTCATTCGATTTTGTGATGAAACGTGAAGATTTTCTGGTCGCACCTCTGGACACGATTAACGTGCGAAACACTTCAGGGAGGAATCGATGATGTGATCAAAGCTAGATGTGCCTCTCAGACATACTAATGGCGGCGAATCTATACTAGACGCCAAATTTCGCAATAGAATGTGATCCCGTTTTTTTGACATCTCATGCATGAGTAGTAGTCCGTTTGCACCAATGTACGAATTTATGCAAAAAACTTCATCGATACCATAAAGGCATGGGTCAGTAATGTCTGTCGCTGCGTAAATTTTGCCATCTCCATTGCGGTAATACCTACATTGCGCTTGAGGAGTGCTCAACATAAAATTAGTAGTGAGTTTTGATCGAGTCCTGATAAAAGCTCTAATCTCTACGGGTCTGATGCTATGAGGCAATAAAGACAGTCTCATACTTATGAAGAAGGCGTTCTTAGCCGCAAAGTTGCTTGGTCAACTCTTTGACTAATCGACGATCATAAGTTAAAGCACACGCATATTTCTGGGACCTAAATTTGGCAGCGTAGTTGCGTGACGACTTAGTGTCGCATCACAAGATATGAATATGCTTTTTGAACGAACTAAGGGAAGATCGCAACCTCTCAAAAATATAATTTCGACCTCGTGCTATGTAATTTCAAGCCAAATATATATCATAAGGAACGTCATCATTTATCCTACATAAGTGACGCCCCAAAATGTTGATGCTCACAACGGATAAACTAATGCATTTGGTAAAGGCATAGTTTTTAATGTCTCTGCCAGATAAATCAATGTGCCACAAGTTCATAGACAAAGTGCCACTTTTCACAAGTTTTGCTTAGCAGAAACTACCCTTTGTAGGCTTTCATGATCAAAAATTAGATCTTGAACTTTATTAAACAAGATTGAGGCCGATGATCGGAATGATTTAGGGTAAGAGTCGGGAGGCTGCATGCGCGTAGTATTGAAAGCTATTTTCAATTACGATCCAGATCAAAGCCTTATCGTCGAACTGTCACCGAATGCAACTAAGTAAACAAAGCCGATGTGCTCCAATCGTATCGACCATTTATGCTTATGAGTTGTCGCGTTTGAATTCGATTGTTATGCCGAGAAGGGCAATACGTGAACAAGTGATCAAAAGTATTCGACACATGCAATGTGGAGAGAATTGAACCGCATTACCTGATTCCACTTGTTAAAGAATGTAAGGTTGATAGCAATAATTTCATGTGCGCCAAAATTCATGCTTGAGGTTGCGAGGTTTCATCGCAAACGATAGATCAGTATTCCTGTCATCTGAGCTGAGCTGACACTCACAATTAATACCCTGTCCGACCTTTTTGTATGTCCTTGCTCCATCGTTTCTTGAACAAAAGAATTGAAAAGCCCGTGGATGAAGATCACAGGCAGTGGACGGAATTGTCATTTTGCAAAGTGCCTTCGTAACTAAACAAGTAGCTGTTCATTAACTCGCGCTTCTGCCACATTTTGCAATTAAAACTGGTCGGCATAAATCCATCCTCCATATTCTCGGTTCTTTTATCAGTGCGAAATGATTATATGACGTCAAAGCTATTGCTAAAACTCGAATCAAATATCTGTATGAAAAAGTGCCAAATTGTGAGCAAGATTTTCGGCAGATGCATTTCCATATGTTTCTCGTTCCCTATATTTGAGTGCTAACGTGTAGAAAAGTTACCTTTGTTGTCACATTGTGACGATTCTTCAGTAATGGTACCACCGTAAAGTACAGACACTCAAGTCAATGTCACAACTCTCGATAGACAGCCTGGCATGTCGTACATTGCGCTCTGTGGCTCGATCGTAACATGTGAACACATCTACTTTATAGAGCTTAAACAATATAGTCGGTTGTTCTGCGTCCAATCGACCGCGAGTTCGCGAGCAAAGGTTTCCATATTCTCTTTTGCTCATCGCAGCATAAGCCAATCACTTCAGCTTGAACTCAGCAATGCAAGTGTGGAAAGTAGCAAGCGCACTCGCGCTCTTGGCCGTGAGCAAGCATGTTGCAGCGAAGGGTAAATCGGAAAAAGACCGTCCAGGTATCTGTAAGGACACCGAGGACTGTACAACTAAAGGATACGAGTGCGTAGCGTTGCAGACAACGCGTGCTGGTACCGATACGGTCAAGCAATGCTTGCCCAAGGAACAAGACTCGGATGTATGCTCGGGACAATTTCCAGGTCTGTGTCCCACTTTTTCGTCATGGGCGAGTCCGTATAACCAGATCAGCAGTGTCTGTACATACAAGCCCGCTGAGAAGTGTGTGACTGGAACCAGTAGCAAGTCAGGCTCTGAAGACGGGGTTATTTGTGTGGGTGGCGCCAAGGACCAGGATGGCAAGTCGATCGACGCTATTTACGGCTGTGTCGACTTTGATACGGGTGCGCTCGAGATACTTTTCGGTGAGGACGATGCCACTGAGCTTGCAGACGAACTAGCCACGGCCTCGGCTTTGATTGAGAGCTGTCTCAGCACAAACGCGACGAGCAATTCGACACTGCTCTGTTCTGGTCAGGGAACATGTGTTCCAGATTCAACAGGGTCGCTTAATTACACATGCCGTTGCAACATCGGCTACAGTGGTGACGTTTGCAGCTTTATTGACTCGAACAAGTGTCAGATGCCGGGACAATGCGCCACTGGCGTGTGCAACCTTGAGACACAAGAATGCGAGTGCGAAGCCGGCACTACTGGTGACCAGTGCTCAGAGTGTGATGCGTCGTCGGATAAAGCTTGTAACAGTAAGGGTACGTGTTCTAACTCGACTTGCAAGTGTGAAGAGGGTTGGGAGGGCTTGCAATGTACGAAGGAGAGCTCCGTCAAAAAGAAATCGAAATCGTCATCCGATCAATCTAGAACGGATCCTGGCACTTCAAGCGGAGCGACGTCATCGACTCGTCCATACAGCCTCGTCAGTATGATCGTTGCGTCGATCTTCATCGCTGCTTTTTTCAACTAGTCGGGTTTACTATGATACATAGATGTAATACACTATTCGTGTGTGTTGCAACCGCAACGATTACGTGTATGACATTCTTTAAAGCTCGTTACTTTTTTCTGCCTCCTACAAAGTTCAGTAGTAATACAACGTTTATAATTCTTGCTCAAACAGAAAGTCGACCGTTGCCCTTTTAGGTGTCCGTGTCTCTGGTGCATTCCAAATAAAAATATATGCCTATTCGTCATTTTCAAAGCGTCTGCTATGTTGCTAAAGACAAATTTTTAACAATGTTCAGTATGTTTGTTCTGACGTTCTGATTCCTAACGGTGCCGACCTTACTCCATTTTTATGACCAAGCGTTTTAAGCTGGACGCAAATGTGAAATGATTCTTGCGCTCAATGCAACTATGTACAGCATAAACTAGTCACTGTGTTGACTCGACAGCTATAAACGTCAGTTGATACATACATTGATCTTATCGGTATAGCTCCCAACAAAATGCAATACTAATTTAAAACGCTGCAGAGAATACTTGTACGCTTCTATCCAGCGCCCCAAGCTTATATTTTCACCAGTATAATTCTAGGAATATCGATGAATTGGGATCCAGCGCAAAGACTATTCTCGTGCAGTTTACTGGCAATGTTAGCAAAATCTCAGTTTGGGTGTCCATTCTTGAAATTTCCAACGATACAGAAGAGTCCGAGACTGAAGTCTTAGCTTTCAGACTCGTTTGGCTTCTTGTTCCTTCAAGTATTCAGACAATCGCCAATCAATAATATTACGAGTTTTCAGTGCTGATCGTGCTTGTTTTTTTAACCGGAGAGATTACGTCACCGTTGTAGATGACCCCACCAGTAGTGGTCGTTTCGGACCAGGTTCATGTGGGTCAACTTGTTGCACTTATTGGCTATAGCATCTTGTGCACCTTTTGCCTGTTGTTGCTCGTCTATCTGCGTTTGAAACGCCATGTGGCTTTTAAAGGAGATGCACAAGCGACACGTAAAGTGATTTTGCCAGCTTTCGAGCCTCTTTTGTGGATTCTTGCGGTTGTCACTGGAGGCTTTACTGTCTTTTTTTGGATAGCTCTGCACGTCAATCTATACACAACGAGCTTGCCATTTTTTGACATAGAAATTTTCTACGCTGGTCGCATCTTTGTTTTCATGCTTGCGATCGTTTACTTGTGTCAGAAAAGTGTTTCGGTGCCTGCTCTTGGTCGTGCTGTGATCAAGTCGGTTCTTCTTGCTTCGTACACAGTTCCAGTCGTGGGATTGATCACTTATTATGCTCCTCATGATACCAGATTGTTTTTTTTCGTCAGGCTTGTGATGCGACCGTCTATCCTGGGCTATGTAGTTTATGTGTGTTTTATCGATCCACCAGCAGGGCGTGCAAGCCCGAAGACTCTACGCACTTACGGAATCCACATCATCATATACCATGTGCTTTTAGCCATCAATACAATTCTTCAAAAATACACTCCAAAAAACCGCGTGTATTCGGCTACATCTTACATGGTGTTAGTTTGGGCCTCAGCCAGTCCGTTTTTCATCTGGAGTTTGCTACGTGCCGACACGGAGTATTGGAGAGGAATGGGTCAACGAGCATGGGCTTTACAGCGCGCAAGTCGGGAATCTGGACTGCATCTGGAACTTGACGAAAGTATATCTTCTAATCGAATTCATCTTCTTATTGAGACGCACAAGAACTTTGTGATAGATTTTGCACATCTTGAGCTTCGGCGCAAAATTGGTGCAGGTTCTAGTGCAGTGGTGTTTAGTGGACGACTTCGCCAGCAGAAGCCAGTTGCAGTAAAAGTTTATACGCCATATCGTTTCACAGAAGAAGTCGTTGCAGAGTTTTCTCATGAGGCAGCGCTTTGTGCATCGTTGGATCATCCGAACATTGTCACATTCTTTGGTATGTGTGTATGCCCTCCGACCATTTGCCTGGTGTCGGAGCTATGCCAAGGTTCGTTGGAAGATATTTTGTACGCTCAGACTAAATCACGCAGTCAGCGTCGTTTTACACGACATCGGTTTGACGTTGATGATGAGTATAGTAGTGCAGAAGTTTTTAACCCACAGCAAATGCTCCTTAACATCGCATACATGCTTGACTGCGCTCGTGCTGTTGCATACATTCATAGCTTCACTCCGCCGTTCCTGCATCGTGACATAAAGCCGGCCAATTTTTTAGTGGATATAGAAAACACTGTCAAACTCACTGACTTTGGCGATTCACGTCGATTGCCACGGAAATTGCCACAATCTTACAACACTAGTGTCAGCAAACCAGAGGATGCTCGGAATTCCGGTGGAACTTTTATCTCTACGGATTCTCAGTGCCCCTTGCCATCACCTCCACAGATCAAAATGACAGTTACTGGTACGGTGAGCTACATGGCACCAGAAATGATCGGATGTCGCACTGGCTTGGCAAGTTACGGGGAAGCTGCCGATGTGTACTCGCTTGCCATAACATTTTGGGACATTTTGTACCCAGACCGCGAAAAATATCCTGTCACGAACCCCATGCTCTTGTTTGAAGGGGTGCTGAATGGCTGGCGCCCGCCACTTGAAGATGTAGATCCAAGTGGTGCAGACGAGACAATGCCTTCCAAATTACGTGAAGTTATCACTCGTGCATGGCACAGCGACCCAAGTATTCGTCCAACAATGCCGCAAATTGTTCGCTCTCTGGAATGTATTCAAGAAGAATTGCTTTCAGTACTTGCTCAAGACCTTAGCGATGACTTTGAAAAATTAAACACTGGGTGTCAGATTGTTTCGTCTGAAAAGTGCTTCACAGGCGAGTTTCTGATTGAACGAATGGAAGATTTGGCAGTCACTGAGTCGCGTGAGGAAGGCTTGCGCCTCGGACGCGCACTTATGGATGCTGGCTTCTTGCATCAGCTTCATCATGCCAAAGGCTTCGAAGACAGCGACACTATATACTTTTTTGACGATAATAACATAAATTTTTGCCAGCCGTTAGCTATGTTAGAAGAAGCTGCAGGCATTGAGTCAGACGATGAGCTGTTTGCCTTTCAAGCTCAGCAGAAGAGCGTTAAAGTCCGTAGAGGTCCAAGATTTTTTTCCCACATTACAAATACATTTTCATCAAACGGCCATTCATCAGGGGCCACTAGCGGTGATGAAGAAACAAACACCTCGTCCTGTGCGTGCCGCTTACGTGGTCAAAGGCTCAACCTACTAGCGAGCGCATCTGATCGGCAAAGTCAATCGAAACCTCGACAACGAAAGTGGCACAAACGCTCTCATTGGCATCAATCACGGGAAAATAGTAGTAGCACCCGAAGCAGTTTGAGCTTTTTGACTTCCCCGAAGAGAGTGAGGCAAAAGGATAGACGCAAAACAGAAAATTCTCTCACACATAAACTGCTTGATGGCGTATCAGATCATGCGGTCGAGATAAGTGACCCTGAAGAGAGAGATTCTATGACACTGGCTCGACCAGCAGCGTAGTCGCTGTAAACAAGTTAAGAATAATAAAATTTATTTAATTGAAAGCAATAGTTTTTGCCCACCCTTATTTTGAGTAGAATGACAACTCTTTCTCATTCCGAGTAACTTCACCGAATGTCGTTGTCCGCAGCAGCTTCGTTGAATACAATAAAGTCACGGTCTTTCCCGCCGTCCATTTTGAACAATGGACCAACGGGAATGAGATTTCCAATGCTAAAACGGGTGCGAGTCTTTTTGTTTAAAGACAGTTGATGGATGCTATGGGCGAGCACGGTAGATAGAGCGGTGGCTGATGTGCATCTTTTGGCGACTGAAGGAGTGAGATCTTTCCTCATAGAACCTGGCGGCTTCGTTTCTGTCGTCGGTCGGTATGTATCCACATTTGGTAATTCCTCATCAAAAAACGTCTTATAAAGCTCTAAACTATCTGCAGGAACTGACGCTTCTCCTGTTCTGACAAATTTTTTTAGATCCAATGTATCCTCGAATATTCTGCGCAAATTGAGTGTAAGAACGACAAAAAAAAGTAAAGCTTCCTTTTCATAAATACTCGTACGCACTTTTGATCTTCGGCTTCGGTTTGAAGCTTCTTGGATACCAGGACTCGAGCCTTCACGTGTTGTTCTAATCCGGTGTACGGACCAACTTGCAATTTGAACGTAGCACCAGCACGCGCTTGTGCATCACGAAGTCCTCGCGCATCATCAGGACTGATGTGGTTTTCGCGCATGTAAGTCTCGAAGTACATTTTCACATTCTCATTATCTTTTTCCCACATTTGAGGTGATTCTTTTCGAAGCACGTATCTATTAAAAATTGCGACATGTGAGCCTTCCCCTATTCACAATTAAACAAAAATCCTGGTCGTACTGTTGATACACAGGATCCGAAACAGATGGGGAGCAATCACCTACAAATTTACGATTCCTGCCACCAATATTTGAGGTGTCAGCAGCTTGAAAGAACACAAACACGAAAAGACTCAAGCTAATCAACGCACCCTCTGCTCCACACAAAACTGTTGACGCTAGTTTGGTCGTCCCTGCGCTTCACAATTGCTTTATGCATCGCGAAGTTATCAACTCCATACCTTTTAGTTGATTCTGCTGAGGCTAATCGAGAAGCCCGACGGGTCTCCAGGCCTTCAATATTAGAATTCTCTTCTTGAAATCCGCTTTTGTACTCACATCCAGTATCGCGAAACTTTTGAGTGGACGGCGGCTGGTCTTCCCCAATATCAGGAGCGCTCATGCTTCGATACGATCGCGGTCCTTTACTTGTTTGACCACGCTGATATGAGAAATTGTCTTCACCAACGCACGATAGTCCAGACATTGACGAGGACAAGGGAGCCGAAGTTAAATGTGCTACGACCGCACTTTCCGATCGATGCTTGTCTTCATCATGCACTTCGTCCGATATCTCCATCGGTAGCATAAATTTGTATCCTAACACCTTGTCGAAAGTTGTCAATTCTTCTGGATGGTACATATGCATGAAATCATCCGAACAGTCCTCAGTCAAATTATCTTGTCTGATTTCTTTGATAGCGACCCTGTCACATACGCAATGTGTCTTATCCTCCCTGGGTGGCTGGCAAAACTTTAGCCGCTCAAATTTTTCCAGAGGTTCCTTCCACCATTCATCCAAAACCCTTCTACATCCACGGATGTATGCATCGCGCTTCGCCTGTTGTCTGGCTGCCTTGACTAGACTGCGTTCACGCGTTGGTTCCTTGTCGTTGCTATCCTCGCTACCATCGTCCGACGACGAACAGTACGACAACTGCAAGTGCTGTATATCAGGAAGCTCGCTGAATGCATTTTGTTTGTTCTCAGCATGAATAGCAAGATTGCGCCGAACATTTTCGCACGCAGCCATACCATTACGCACCTCGAAATTGTGAAGATAGTAGTCAGAATCAAGCTCCCACAACGGGGGAAAGCCTTCTCGTGGCACAAAGTGACCTAAGAAAATATTAATTGCATCCTGCTTTGCCGTATCGGTGAACGAATTGCTATAGTACCGTCGAATCGACGTCAAAAGTTCACGATGCTTGACATTTTCCCGAGCCGCGCTGTTCTTGACGTTTTTGTGCGCTTCAGATCCACCGTATTGCATTGAAATTGCATCGCCCATAAGGGAATACAGCTTCATTAAAACCAGAACAAGCTGTGATCGGCTCTCTAATAGAGGCGTATTCTTGATACCCATCACGTAAAGCTGTTGACCCAGCGCTCGCATCCCCACACTAAACTGACTAACGTTGGTGCGATCGAGACAGTCAATACAATTCGTGCGAAGAATCCCTCGTTGTTCAAGCCAATCGCCAGAGTTTCTTGTAATCGTCGGAGATGATGGAGATTTATTGACTGCTGCTTCTTCACGTGTCTCGCCCTGTTGTCGCAGATTACTTGACGTCAAAGATGCATCCCATATCTCAGATGGCGGGCTTGGAAAAAACGCTTGTGCTGTGCGCCGATTACCGTTCTGGTTAATCTGCCGTTTTGGCGCACTGCAAAAGAACCCTGTCTGCGTAAGAGCCCACACAGCCACTTTATCCAGCGAATGCAGCACATTAAGGCCTTTCTGTTTCGGACCTGACAGTCGCGAGTAATCCAATGCCACATAGCGCACACGATGTTTTGGTGGCATAAAGCTGTTAAGGTACTCGACAGCGTTCATGTACTCGTTCCCAACAATGACTTCACGTTCTTTCTTTTCGGACTGCTTGACAAGATTAAGCGCTACAATGGGTGAGCCGTAGCGCGAAAACAAATCAGCGAAATGTTTTTGTGTCGCCGCATACGTTGGATCGACACGGTTCAGCACAATCGGTGGCTTTGGCAGCGTGGCTGACGTCTCCTGTGACCAAAAGACTGGAATTGATCCGCGATGCTGTACAAATGAGCTAAACTTGCCCGGACCCATACTCTCGTCTTCAATAATTTGTTCTGTTTCCACGTCATTCGCTGCCTTGCCGGTGTCCGCCACACCACGTTTCAAGTAGCGCGTGCCTGCAAAGTGACGCGAGCGACGAGCCAGAAGCACGATGCTCACAAGACGTCCAAACACCGAGCACTTGCGTTGCTCGTAGCAGCCAAGTACAAGGGGTACGATAAGATCCGCTGCAGCGCCACCACTTAAGCAAGTTCGTAATTCTTGCGTCAAGTAAAAATTCCAAGTGAACAGTTCTGCCGGCTCCGAATGCTCCGTTGTCATGTTATGCTGCAATGTGTGCGTGATATCGTAAGAGTAACTAAAGTAAAAGTCCTTTGTTAAATCTAAAAAGTGAAAAAGGCCAAGGTACCGCGCTTCTGCTTCTTCTTCAGGACTCATATTAAACCAGCGGTTGAACTGTGTCCATGCGCTTCGATCTTTTTCAGGCCGACTCACATTCAGCTGCTGCGTAGCTGAGATTCCGTATATCGAGTTGCCTCCGATGTTACCTATCTTTCGTCGCTGTGTGACGAAGATAAAGTAGTAGTCACGCAAGAAGCGAATGCAGCCAACAATGGCCACGGCTGTAAACGCTCGCTCAAGTCGCCCTGTGCCACGCACTCGAGCCAGCTCGGCAAGTGCTTGCAACTTCGCTTCCATCTGTTCCCAGTCATATATCATTTTATCTTCGTTTATAACTTCCGCTAGCTTCTGAGGCCGTTCTACCATCCGATTCAATTCGATCATCCGAAATCGAGAATAATGACGGTCCGAACAAACGACGTAGTACATCGAAGGCGTCTCATAAATTGTGAAGCGCTCAAACAGCGTCTCCGATGTAGCCAACGCTGGTTTGCGTCGTTTCAAAGTCGGTCGTCCGAGTCCTGCTCCATTTAGTGCGGCTCCAAAATTAAACTGCGACGATGGGCGGCGCATATGCTTTGGTCTAGTTGCCGGTTCTGATACGTGAGCTGTGACCAGGGAAAGTTGAGGCTTGATTCCCCGCTGCAAGTCTCTTTTAACAGAGATTAATGTTGTCATCCTACACGTACGAAGGCATGAAAATCCGTAACTTAAGAAATGATGTATCTCGTATCATGATGATCTCATCTTACCACCAATCCACATCGTGGCTGGACTCGTGAGACGAGAAAGTTTCCTTCTTGCCTCGGTTGATTGTCAATTCGATGCAGTCGCGACCGTCGCTGCGCACATGAGCGAGCTCACAATCTTTTACGGGGATGGAGATAATGCGGCTACGGCTGTCGGAATCCAGCGAGACTAGAAGCTCACCGCGCTCTACGGCGAGCTCACACCAAACAAGACTCCACTCCCCTGGCTTGCTGCGGTTAAACAACAGCCGCGGTGTTCGGCGGTATAGCGGTCCTGAGATGCTCATAGGTTGCCTTATCAAAATCTTTCATTTACTTCAGGTACATCAAGAACAAAAATGTGTCAAAAAGTTACATTTACATGGGGTACTAGCTCTGCACATAATCTCCTAGTACGTCAAAGCAATCCGACACAAGCAGTTCCTGTAGCGGAGACACGGGGGGCTCAAGCAATTCATACGCAAACGTTACGAGCATTTCGGTCGTAAGCCAGCAGCACCATGAAAAGTGCAGCGTTTTAAGAGCTCGAGAACGGGCGAGTTGTTTCAATAGCGCAGCACACTGTTCAATTGCTGCATTATCAAAACAATCAATAATCTTAAGATGCTCTAGACTCGGATGAACTGTCGTCAGGTGCGTAAGGAAATGGCTGGAACGATCAAGACACGACGCGAGGCTTAGTGACCGTAGTTGCATTTTTCCTTCAGTCTGCAAAATGTTGATATCTTCCACATCCAAATCTTCCCACGAATCGGCTGAGACTATGTCTGATTGATCAGACGCGAAGTGCCACGTGATGCAGCGATCAGCTTGAGCCTCGTCGAACAACGGTGCCAACGACTTTTCGTCTTGCACAAAACCAATAGTAAGATTGTCTGTCGGCTGTAGTAACAATAGCTTAACATTGCCGTCATTAATAGTTTTTAATGCTGTTGTTAGCTCTGCCAATTTTGACACCATCCAGGGCTCAAACGACGCAAAATAACTCTGTGTGAACTCACACGAAGAGCTGTATAAGTCAAATGACTGCGCGATTTTGTAGATACACCTAACGATAAACCAACAAGCAAACGTGACTACAAGAAAATCATGCTGCACTCTGCAGTTGTAATCCTCACCGCTCCTGCAGCGATACGAACTCTTGCACGGCCGATTTCCGAAGCGATTGATAGCGCTCCCTCGCGCTTTATTCGCTCGATGTAATCGTCCTTAAGACGAGCGTTGGTCCAATCCGCCAGTATATCCAGTTTCACTCTACGGCGCACAGATTCGACACCTTGTGCACGTCTTTGTTGATCCGCTAGTCTGTGTTGCGTTTTCCTCCTCAATGCATTTTTGTTTGATATCTTGTCTACCTCTTGCTGCCAGCGTTGAAGCAATACGAATCTGTAGAGCAAATGATTAACGAGTTGCAGAAGCTAAAAAATCAGACAATTCGCGATGCCGTGCCTCTCTTTCTTGCAGCTGTAGCCTCCGCATTGTCGCCCTTTTCTATTGCGGCCCATTTTAATTGAGTTGGTGCTCTGCACGTCAGATTCGAGCTACATATATTTATATAAATTTCAAATAATTCGGACGGTATGTATGTTGAATAACATTAAGCTGGTGTGGTATGGCCAGCAAAATAAGGTCAAACCGACTCGCAAATTCATATTCAAGAAAGTTTCGTGGACAGATATAGCAGTAGCTACGGCATTGAGAAACTCGCGACATTAACATGGCTTAATACTAGATATATCTATGAAAGATCATTTATGAAAAGTATCTTAGAATTTAGAAATATTTGTTTTCTATTCTAAGAACCATGCTACACCAAAATCTTCAGCAGCCATGTCCTTCATTTCGTAAATTGCTACCAGGTCTTCATATGATCCGTTGACAATGGAGCCAATATGTTGGTTTCCGACAGTGAATTGTTGATATTTATACGCATCTTCTTGCTCCATAAGCCATAGCTCAAATTGATACGGCATCCAGAATGTTGTTCGACAATCGCTGAGAATATCCTTCAATGTCGTATCGAGCATCACTCTCACTCTCAGCGACGTCCGCTTTTCTTGCTTCTCGTATGATTGAAATGATTCTTTGAAGTTAAAATCGTCTGGTGTCCTTTGAAGTGGATTAGCCAGATCGGCGACATATTTATCCCAGACTCCTTTCACCGTCTTAAAAACGTCGCTTTCAACAGTTTGAACACCATCTATACTTTCGTAATCCACGCGATGCAACCATTGATTTTTCATTGAATCCGTCATGTCCTCGCTCAAAAGTTGTGCACCAACCCACCTTCGACCAAGACGTAAGCGCACGACGCGGAATTCACCAGTCAAGAAGCCTTCTTGTTGTAATGCTACGTGAACAATAATATTAAAGATATGATCGAGTTTGACGCGCCACATTGTTGAAGGTTGCCACACTGTCCAACGACACTTGGAAAGTAAAAAATCAATCAACTCGTTGTCTTGCAACTCAAGCCCAAGGTCTTTCGTCGATTCTGGCGTCCATAATCCGCGATTGTCAACCTTACAGTCATGCTTACTCACTGTAACCCGATGAACACTGAAACAAGCACCGATCAGTGTTGTTCATCAGACTATGCGATCGCTTTCGGTACGCACTTTTTCATATCGATGGTGTACGCTTCAGCGATGGATGTAGTAGAGAATTTTGCGACGAACCATGACTTTGATACCGACTCGATGTATTTAGTGTAATTTGTAAGGAACTTTATGGAACACACTAAATGCTTCTTCACCACTCGGTGAATGCACGAGGAGACATGCTGTTCAAGCACACAGTGTCGTCCAGAATACGCTATTGCATTTGCAGCTTGGCTGTATGTTTGTGCTATATGAGAGGGATGTTGCAGCGTTGTTGCCCGTTCGACCCCCACGGCAGCTCCCATACAACCACCGTAGCTTCAGCACTGTTGATCGTACTATTCTGAAATCTAAATAAGGACAGAGCCATCGCAATAGATACACCAAAGTAAGCTTTACTCCCTCAAGGTTTTGCGATAAGAATTTAATACCAGAAAAATAAAACTCGATTTAAAGGTTATGTTGGGGTTTTCTCGGTCCTTTGCTTGAATCAGGTCTTTCCTGAATAGACTGTTTGAATATCTTATACTGTCTATTGGTGTGCACTGGCCACTAAAAAAATCTTACACAGCTATATTGCACCTTTTTACCAATCTATCACAAAAAAAGGGGTGCAGTCTACCAAATGTCTTGCAGAAGTCATGCCTCTTCCACATTATAAAATTGCTCTGCTAGACTCGTTTAACCTCCCATAACAAATACTTCCTCTGCACACCTATTTCCTTGCTGGAGCACTCGAGAAGGCGACAGGAAAGGAACGGCTGACGTCACCATCGACCAGCGATCGCGCGCGAAATCTCAGTCATCGTATCACGTTTAACCCAACGTCAACTTATAAAAAAAATCGTCCACAATGTCGAACTGGGGGCTGCGGCTGAATCCGTTTAAAAAGAGCTATTCGCAGCTCGAAATGGACCAGATGCGCTTTGTTCACCAAGCGTACTGTGAGTCCATGGAGGTGAGCGAGGAGGATCTTCCTACGGCGCTCAAAATGGATGACAACTTTTACCCTCTACACAATCCTACCCTTTCGGACTTTGACGAGAACTCTTATCTTCGCAAGATGCAGGATGTTGTAGGTCTGCTGCGGAATCCTGCTGAGGCCATTATCTCGAGCATTTGTGCTTACCAACGAGAGCGCTACGACCGAACCTTTACTTTTTCAGGTTACCTCAATGATCCGCGCACTTTATTACTAGAAGAATTTAAAGACTGGGCCATGCGGACACTGGCACCAGCCTCATGCACAACAGAATCTATTTTAATTGAGGTACGACGTCGACACAGCTATGTATTAAGGCTACAGCACGGACAGCAAGGCCTGTTTCACTCTGGTTCGGGCGAGCGCTCGCTGATCGGTACGCTTAAAGATGTTAGAAATGTCATTGAAACGCGAGTGCTCCCCACAATTGAGACAGAGCGCGCCCACTCGTCAGCAAGAGAACAACTACATACACTGGAAGCCCGCGGCACAGATGGACTCATGCACGGTGTGCAGTTTCTGTTTTATGTGCTGCGTAATACGCCCAACACACCTGCAGACTGCACAATAAGCAACTTACAAAGTCAACAACATGCAGGTATGAAGGATGCTATGAGCAGCAAGTCAGGGCAAATGCTGGGGGTGCTGCTTACGACGCCATCGTTTAAGTATGTGCTTCTATCTGGTTTGATGCTTGATTTTATATCGAAACATTGAATTTCTATTTTTTGCTGCACAATAGAGAACTATTTCCACAAAATCAGGCAGCAATTTCTCCACAGGACTCGCTGCCATCGCTGCTCTTGACAAATGAAGAAGAGGAGGAAATGAACCGAACAGCAGTATTTTGTGATACTGATGCAAATCCGCAAGTGCCGTCAGTGCTAACGCGAGAGGTTCGTCGCAACTCCAACCCGAATGAGGGAGCAATAACTCCATCCCAGTTTCTGCAACAAAGCAACTCGGGTGTCGTTGCGCTTCGCAGAGAGGTTCAAGAAGAAACTTTTAACGCTTTTACTAAGCTCCATGGTCTACTGAAGCTGTTAGCAGATCTGCTAGTCTCGTGTCGAAAAGCACGACAGCTTGCTGGTCCAGGTGGTGATTTGCTTGTGTATGGACCTGGAGGCGAAGAAATTCGTCGGTTGATGCAATCACTTGAGGCTGTACAGACAGAGATTAGTAAGGAAGTAAGCCAGCTCACGCGCATCGGTGTTCGTGAGCTGGATCGTTTAAAGCCTAACCAGGAGAAAGCTTGGCGCTGGAGTTTTAGCAAAGTACTGCCTCTTGAAGGGTATTTGGCCCGTGATTTTGGAGCTTGTGTGGAGCCTATCCAGCGTATGTACGCAAGTGCTGACCCAGTACACGTACAGAAGATGTACAAACAATTCAAACAAGCCACAGGATTGTGGGTTGAGGAAAATAGCTCAATATGCCGGTATGTCACAGCAGCTTTGGGCGGAGGCTTTATTGAGGGTGCAGCCCACAAGCATAAACAATTACCAAGTAGTGAGGAGGAGCCCGAAGGTCATGCAAAAATTGAGCTGCTTGAAGACGATAGCCCATCACAAATGAGCACTGCGCTTGTTGTGGCAGGATCCGAAATTGGTCGTCAGAACAGCAACAGCCAAAAGAGTTTGCCGGTTGTTGGAGAGAACCGGATCCAGTTGCTTGATGGTGAGAATATTGAAAATGAATCAAGTGCAGAAAACCGGATTGTGGTGGCAAACAGAGCCGAAGCTCGCGCGCCAAAGAAACAGTCAAGTTCAGAAGGCAACTCATTTTTCTCATCGCTCGTATCGTGGGGCGTTGGTGCAAAGACTCCACCAAAATTAAAGGATAACGTGAGCAGTCCGATAAATTCCGAAACAGACGAAGACGAAGAAGTTGAGAAAGGATTATCGTCGTCTAAATTATCGAAAGAAGCCGCTGATATCGCTGCTGCTCAGGGCGGTGTGCTCGACACACTTTTACTCGTGCGTCAATCAATTCAGCGGATTGGTCAGCTGTCGTGGGGCGTTCGAACATCGTTTCACACTTCGTCCATTGATGAAGGCGACTTTGACGCTTTTATTGTCTTGTGCTCGATTTATGAAACTGTTGGCGTCCCTTGCTCCAGCGACTTGCTGCTCCGTGTAAGGTCGCACCGTACTCGACTTGCTCAGCTTTTAAAGAAACACATTCAATCTATTCTCAATTGCGTCGTTGTACTCCAGCGACGAATTGTGGATGAAGAGAAAAGCATTCCTGGAATGACGCTAATCTACCGACGATTGAGTCTGAACCTTTCAAATTTTGAGAGCGAGATGGACAACCTGCTTAATAATTTTAAAGAAGTGATGATGGAGTGCTCGAAAATGAAGGCAGGCATTCTCGCGATGCCGCTATCGCAGCAGCGTGAATCAAATGATGTAATTGGCATGGGTGCCTATGCGTACAACTCGATTAATGCTCTCACATCTAGCTTTGGTGGTGCTCGTGTCCCTTCTGCCGCGATACTCTCGCATGGAGAGTACATGACGCAGTTAAGATCTCAGCTAGATCTGCATTGGAATAGTATCTCGCATCTCTTCCAAAGCCTTCAAGGCACTGTGGAAGCTGTTGCTACTGCTGATGACCGTCTCAGGGTACGTATTAGCTGCATGGGTTTTAACTATCAAATGTGGATTCTGATGAGGTCTATCGATGTTCAGGGATACAGCAAGTTTCCAGACATCACCGTTCCCCCACAGCAGCTAGACTACATTTTTGAAGTAAGTTTTGTCTGCTTATGTACAAATCATTAGATTCTAATGTGAAGTGGTGCGGCAGTTTAACTACGACGGCTTTTTTCGTCAGACGACAAAAGACTTAGAAGTTTTGCTTGCTTCGTTCGATGCGTCCAAGTGAGTAATTTTCACACCCATTTCGCCCGATGCTCCTTTAGGTCAGATGGTAAATTTAGATGAGCGAGCGACGTTGGTACGATGTCGTGCCATTCGTGAGTCCACTATACCGTTGTGACGACAAAGCCGTAAGAGATATAAATGCTGCACGGTATTGCTACGTCTTTCAAAGCACATCAAGAAAATCGCTTGCAGGTGGTGGTGCTGGTGCAGTTCCAGTCATCACCAATGTAGCAGTCAGTGGTGAATTTGTCGAGGTAGTCTCAATAGTCTTGGCAATTGTACCCTCCATCTCTTTTTTTCTCTTCTTGACACTGGACGTCTGATAATTTGATGCCTCTGCTCCAAAATACGGTGCAGCCTTTGCACTTCTCTGTATTGATAGCACACTGGGTTCCTTGTACGAGGCCTGAGTGCTCAGCGCAGTGCCACTATCTACTACCCCACTAACGCTGTCCGCCCCTTTTCCCACGGACAGTGTGACGGTCAGCTTGCGTCGTCCTGAGCCCTCTTCATTATTCATCTTACTGATATCAACCTGATCAAAGCTCGGTTCATCTGCCAGGCTTGCATAGAAGCAAGAGTTGGAGAAAAGATGTTCGGCTTCAGTGTAGGGTTTTACTTTTTTCGGGTTAGTATCCTTTCGTGACTGTTTAGAGTCAATAAAGCCATCCCATCCGCGAATTATGTTGCCATGTGGCGTTTCTTCGAGATACACAGCTTCCTCCTCTTCAATCTGCGCTTGTAGCGTCAAAACTGTCTCGTGGGCGCGACGCTGCGCCTCGTACAGTGCTAACATCTCGTCGGACACACCCATCGTAAATAAGTGTGCGATTTCAAAGTGAAAGTTTTTTACTTCAAAAAAATATTCGAATTTACTGGTAGAATAGGTGCCAAAACTAGTCTGCACATCTCTACATTGCAGCAGGACGAAATTTTAACGGGGTTTGATCGTGCGAGCAGCATTACGATTAAGACGCGAGCGGGTGCTAAGCCACGTAACGACAAACACATCGAAAAATAGCAAGTCTCAGCACGCACAGGGCGGCCTACTAAGAAAGATCTGTACCTTGTGGAGGTCGTGGTCAAGAAGGGGGACAGGAAGCCTAAGATTGTTAGTTTATTGTAACGGGTTTACACGTACCCTGGTATGAGAGGGTGGATCACACAAAATGGTGTGACCGTATAAAGGTGTAGATATACAAATTGGTATGATCACACAATTGTGTGACTAAACCATAACAATAAACCACAATGTGGCAGGACTGTCAGAAGTTATGGATATGTTTTCCACTTCATTAAGAAAACCTAAGGTTTTAGATATAGGCGGCTCTTCCGCGAATAAAACAAATGAATTCGGTTTCACTCTGAACGGAAGAGCGTATTTGCCTTGGTTGTGGTTTTTAAGGACACTCGTACCGGATCTGGTATAGTACATAAGATTGGCGACCTCAATCAGCTTCCTCTAAGCAAAGAGCTACAGCAGCCCCACTACAATGATACAAACAATCATCACAGATTAAAAAGTGTTTGTTATCATTAAACTCTAAACATCTGAAGTTTGACTCGAAATTTTGCTAGTGATTCTTGTTAATCTCTACATCCTGAACTTTGTGTCCCCGCGGAAAATCTTGATAATACAGGAGTGTCATGAAGATGCCTGATACGAATACAGTAAGTAACCTTGCGGTTTGCGACGGAAACATTAATGGAAACGTCGAAGGTTATGTTAAAGTTTAGAGTGGAGCTTGGAACTTTCACCGAGCGGAACTCAGTATAGTCCTGGACCTTAATTTGAAATGCGTCTCATTCTAGATTTGGTGCGGCTGGAACACCACGGGCCATGGGTCGACCGAAAAGTGAAAAAGCTCGGTGCCACGCACTTCTCTCTGGGTTGATCATTGGCAAGTCATGAAACATCCTCAGCCAGAAAGCGGTATCGCTCTGGGCGCGGGCACGACACTGTCAAAGCCTTTTTTATGCAAATAGGATTGTCCAAATCTGTTAGCGTGGGTATTGTCAGGTACTACAGACAGATCTCGGTAGAGGCTTCAGCCGACCGCGGTCTCTAGATAATTTGAGAAATAACAATTATTTATCAAGATCTTTTGAGTGTGGTCTTGTTGAGACAAGAATGGACGACTTCATGTTGCGGTCCTCTAAGTGTATCTCTAGCGGAGCAGTGTGAGCTGCAGTCCCCTTTGTTGAAGACTATGCTATTCTACAGCACATTTTTGCTAGAAATCGGCATTCGTGCCAAAATGGTGGCTACAATTAGCATAATGTAAGTATTCACAATTTGCCATATGCCATTAACCTTTCTGACACAGAAATTTGGCGGCAAAAGAAGATAGTTATCTCTCTATCATCGTGCCCTCGGTCGAACTTCACATGAAAGAAGATTTCAATGTTGTCACAAAATTACTTTCGCAAAAACATTGCCGTGTGAGGTAATTTATGGTTTAGGAACCAAGTCAAATCATTGATGTACTCCATTTTCCGGGGATAACACGCGTGGTTTTTTTCTCGTCATCGCGTCGTGATACTCCCTCATCAAATGACAGAAACGAGCTATAAACTCTTGAGAATAGCTCTCCCGCCCCTCGCACAAAATGCTCCTCAATCACAGATTCATTCATGTCGGATACATTGCCCGGCTTCTCTATTGGTACGAACTGTGACATCCTGGTGACCTCACTGTCTTGCGATTCGTTGCACATATTCTAGAGAGATAATTTCTCCAGCTCTATAAGAGCTTCTGTCGGAAACAGTGGGGGAAAATTACAGCCTCTGAGGCTATTCCGATCGCTCATTTACATGTAAAAACTCTTCTCACCACTAACCTGGACCTCAATCGACTAGCTCGGTGAGTCCGTTACTCGGTAGTGCTTACTCAGCAGTACCGTCACATTGAGATAAGGATTATTTTTTCTTAAATCCGAGGTCTGGCTCTTGTACTTTCAACTTACCTTTACACTTAAACCCCACCGTCCCTGACACGAAAAATTGCGACAGCCAAGCGCTTCCGCTTTCGCTGGCTCCGACAAAGGGGACGGCAGCTCACAGTTGTCCGTTACTGTTCTGCCAGAAATACACTTAGAGGACCGCAACACATTCCTGTGTCAAAAAGACCACACTCTAAAGATCGCAATAAGTAATCGCAATTTTTCAAATATTATCCTGAGACCGCGGTCGGCTGCAGCTTCTACCGAGATTTGTCTGTGGTACCTGACAATACCCACGCTAACAGATTTGGACAATCCTATTAACCGCAAGAAAGCTTTAACGGTTTTGTGCCTGCACCCAAAGCGATACCGCTTTCTGGCTGATGTGAGTTCATGACTTGCCAATGATCAACCCAGAGAGAAGTGCGTGGCACCGAGCTTTTTCACTTTTCGGTCGACCCATGGCCCGTGGTGTTCCAGCCACACCAAATCTAGAATGAGACGCATTTCAAATTCAGGTCCAGAACTATAATGAGTTCCACCCCGCAAAAGTTTCAAGCTCCACTCTAAGCTTTAACATAACCTTTTACATTTTTACCAGTGTTCCCGTCGCAAACCGCAAGGTTATCGTATTCGTATCAGGCATCTTCACGAGGGTCTACTATCATCAAAATCTTCCGCGGGGACATAACGCTCAGAGCGTAGAGATAAACAAGAATAACTAGCAAATTTCGAGTCAAACTCCAGATGTTTTGTGTTTAATTGTCCAACAACCTTGGGCTGTCAGCCCCACTTCTCTAAGAGTCCCAATCTACTAACGGCTGGACCTTACCTTGACAACATACAAAATTACCCACTTCCACCTCCCTGCTCGTGCTGAGACTTAAAATTTCTTCTTGATAGTTCGCCCATTTTCCCAGGGTTGGATCCCAACCCTTCACAAATCTCATCCAAGAGAATAGGGCGCTCATAATTTGTACTACCGCACAGGCACATCTACATCTGCGGGGACCGCAGAGCTGCTCTGCTCTGCACTGCAGAGTTCCATCACCTCTGACGTTGATCAAACGTCATGCACTTCATTCCATCCGAATTTCACGATACCGCACTTGATGCGCCAACTTCCTCGAAGTATTAGGGTGATTATGGCAGGTCATTGTACGAGCCGTCCCTCAACGAAAATAATAATCGGTACTGCCTTCGTGAGAGAGACAGGTGGCATTGCAGTGGTGAGGAATTTAAATCCTGGACGTAGTCGTCCAGTCCCCGCATCCCTTGACGGTGGATAAGAACATCAAACGCCCCGATACTCCGGGTAAGGTGGCGCGAGAATCTGCGACATTTGTCGCTTCAAATCGTCCCACGTTGGAAACGCCAAGTTTGACGATGCGTTGTATGTTAGGCCTACTCTCGCGAGGAATCCCAGTATAGAAATTGCAAGCAATACGCGCTATCGCTCCGTTTGGAGCTTGGCCAAATCCATGGTCATATCAGTTTGTCATCCTGCCTTTTGTCCCATCCCTCAAATTTAATTGTGCTCAACATCAGCGGCCTCTTGGAAAGATTCATCTGTTTCCCCAGCTGTTAAGGGCGCTCCTGGATGTACCTCACCAGCGCGTTTTCAGATCTGGTTGGGAGCACCTTCAGGTTAGCGGTCACCGCCTCAGGTCCTTCGGCCGTCAGTTCTGTGCTTTCATCGGACCCACATTAAACATAAGCTTGAGACCGGTATATTTGTTCTAGCGGCAGGTACACGCCTATAACGTGGGATTGACTTCTAAGTCACCAAGTGCGCTGGGTTTGCACAGCACTTTGCACATATGAAGCTTTAACTCGAAGAGGTTGTGCGTGGCGGGGTTACACGTACCCTGGTATGAAAGGGTGGGTCACACAAGATGGTGTGACCGTACCAAGGTGTGGATTACACAACTCGGTTTAATCACACAATGGTGTGGATACACCGTAACAAGAAGCCACTACGTGGCGGGACTGCCAGTAGTTATGGATATGAATCAGGGTTTACTATTTAATCAGGAAAACTTAAGGTTTAGATCTGCCGCAAAGAAATGCCGTTTTAATTTTGAATGGAAGAGTAAAGTTACCTTGGGTTAAGTTTTTGAATTCTCTTGGAGGTAGCGGATTGCGATTCGCTACACTCGTACTGGTTCGAGTTTAGAACGCAAGGTCGGTGACTTTAGTAAGCTTCCTAGCTACGGCAGCCCCGCAGTATTGTGCGTACAAACGCACAGTCGAGCTGGCAGCCTTACCCAGGAGCAGAACCGATTGCCTATACTCATTGATTAGCTCTGTTAGTACATGAATTGAGAATTGATGCTACTTAATTAATTGTAATTCTGATTTCTTATAATAAAACCAAATTTTTCTGACGTCAAATTTCTCATAAATACCGACATTTCAGTACTTATGAATATTCGAAATCATTTTAAATATAATATAATTGTACCGTACTCTGTGGTCAATTAACCGAAATGCACATTGGAGTCCGTACCTAGACACCTACAGTTAATGAAATGATTTTGGATTCGTTGCACTGCAATCCGAGAAGTTTTTTTGATTCAAGTCTAGTATAATTAAAACCAGCAATCACGTATCATATTACTACATAATCAAACATTGTCACTAATGTCGTGTTTCTTTGCGATCTCAGCTAACGCCGAGTGCGACACTGTGGACTTCGGTAGGTCAACCTTCGCGATCCGCGCTTTTTTGCGCTTCTGACTAAAATTTCTGGATCTATTGGCTGCAGAAGACATTCTTGCACTTAAATGATCCGTTCTTTGCTCCTGGTCACGCGGATGGCCACCAAAGAGCGGTTTTAAGTACTTTTCATCAATGCGTTCCCATACGCCATGAAAACCATGTATATTGCGGCTAGTAATTGGTTGGTCAATGGGCCGGAACGATGTATCTGAGTCGTGCTCCTGGTCTCCGTCAAGCAGACGTTCTTGCGCAGCCTCGCTGTTTACAAAGAAATAAGCAGTACGTAAGACAAGCAATCTTTACAAACACCTTATTGGTAGTAGAAGCATACTCGTCAAACTTATGTTCTTGTTCCTGTTTTGATGTCAAGCCAAAGTACCGAAGCACCGGACTTGTGCCCATTCCAAAAACCTAAACAATACATGATAGATCATTTCTAGTAAAACAAAGTCTACGAATTATTGGGTCACGAGTAAAACGTACCAAAGTCGTGAACATAACTGTAAAGAGTGTCGTACTTTGTATCACGCTCGCATGCACACGGTTGGGTGTATACACATTCAAAGCCAGTGCGAAAGCGATTGCGCCGCGAAGACCAGCAAACCAAATCACAACCATGTAACTCCAAGGAATTTTGTGCTCTTCAGATCGACCAAAATTCGCCAATACGCACATCGGAAACGTGTTTAGCATGCGACCCACAAGACAAGCGACTAGGTTGACAAATATAAAGCCCCAATCCCAAGTAAAATACCCCGAATACGCCACCACACTCATGCCCATATAAATGAAGACGAAATTTTCAGCCAGGAATGACGACGTCGTCAGCAGATGTTTTAAAGCTGTTGCGCTCTCATCAGCGATATTGTATAGATGGTAGTGGCTTATCAGCACACCCGAGAAAAACAAAGCCACGATTCCGCTCATTCCAACGAGATCGGCAATCACGTAGCTTAAGTACGCTGACAATAACACTATAGATATCTCATAGGACGGGTATCGTTGAAGTGCGGGATCCGCTGCTTTTAGTAAGAAAGCTGATGTAAAACATACCACAGCCGCCAAGCCAACGGAGCCAAAACCAATACCGAAAACCTTTATGATTATAAGGCCTGCATTGTTCAAAGAGACATCAGCAATATCATCTCGAATAAGTCCTTGGAATAACGTGAACGATACAATGGCTAAAAATCATTCACGAATACGTCAGAAAAAATAAATTATAACAATGAAAAAATGTTCGTACCAACGCCGTCATTCAGCATGCTTTCACCAAAGACAAGGTTAAATAACAGAGGAGGTACACCATTCTTCTTAAACACTGAAAGTGTCGCGACCGGGTCCACGGCTGAAATCAAAGCGCCGTAAAGGTATGCCTCAGCAGCTGTAAGTTTAGTGATAAGCCCCATGTTGCCAATCCAAAGCAACATGCCACCCGTGATAAACGTTGCAATTAGTGTACCCACAATGGATAGCAGCATGATAGCATTAAAATTTGAAAAAAAGCCCTGGAAACATTACAGAACATTGAATTGAGCCACGAAACTAATCAATAACAGTCCCAATATAATCGTACCCTCTTTTTCATATTAAACCCAGCCTCAAGAATTATTGGAGGTAGCAAGCTAAACAATGTAGAGGCCAATACTGGGTTAGAATTTCGAATCTGTAATTGCCCCATTATCTACATACGCGTAGAATAGCACTTCTGGGTCCATTCCATTATTTAGCGATTCCTAACACACGTAGTACGAACCAGATGTAAGAAACAAGAATTTTTGAGATTTCTTGAACGGCGCACCATCGGGTATGTTATTAGCACGCCGACGCCAAACTATTTCAAAAAAATATGTCAGACCAATATTGAAAGTTTCTCACATTGATAGCAACTCACTAATACACCAAAAAAAATGGCAACAGCTGATTCTGAGATTAGCGCCGGGTGGTGAGATCGATCAAGACGGTAGGCCACCAGAACCAGCATGAGCTGCAAACTGGCGATGACACATAGCTCCAAACGCGCCCACTCAGTCCGGACCTGCTCCTTTTCCGCTCCAGCTTCGGACCCCGTAATTCCACGGACTGCGTCCAGAACGGTGTAATCTATAGCTGAAGCGGAAATTTCCGGCTCCCAATCGTTCCTCGAACTAGCCATGCCGCGTCTTCTCTAGTCGCGTCTATTGCGAAATAAGAAAGCATTTCTATTGTCATAAGTACGAATGGAATTCTAACGTAAAAACATATGTTGTTTATCAAGTATTACCACTAAGCACGAAAGCAACATTCGTAATAATGCGCGAAGAGGATTCAGACTTTTAAGTAAATTGGACTCTATATCACTCAATACCTGTCTTATTGTTATCTTCAGGCCAGTGCGCCATGAGATATTCCAGATCCGCTCGGGTATCAACACCTGGCAATGTCGATTTAACTTGGACTATCTTAATTCGGTAACCTGCGGACAGCACACGTAGCTGCTCAAGGTCTTCAGAAGCTTCAAGATTCGACACAGGAAGCTTTGGAAAGTCCAATAGAAAGTCCTTGCGAAACGCGTACATTCCAACGTGACGAAGATATGAAGTCACATCATGACAAAACTTGCCACTTTTTGAGTGCGGAATCATCGCTCGAGAGAAGTAAAGCGCGTTGCTGAGGACGCCAACAACCGACACCTGATCACTTTGAGCTTAATTTCGATTTGTTTAATTAACGCACCTATTGCAGTCAGCAACACATTTAACGACATCACGACTGCGGGCTTCTTGCTCGCTAACAATTGGAGTTGCTAGTGTGCTCATGACACTGTCGGGTGCAGCCCCTCGCAAGGCATCGATGCATGAATCAATATGTCTTGGGTCTACGCCCGGCTCGTCACCCTGAATATTCACGACAACATCATACTCCTCTATTTCCCTACGGTCCATCAGATGAAGCGCCTGCACAATACGATCCGTCCCCGTGTTGCAAGTGCCAGTGAGAACAGTATCGCCACCAATATTTTGAATGACTTTCAGCACGCGCTCGTTGTCACTTGTCACCACCACTTTCGACAGCAACTTTGAGCTGGCTGCTGCTGCGTATGTGTGTTCGATCATGGCTTTGCCAAAAAAGACAACCAAAGGTTTTTCTGGGAAGCGCGTTGAACCTATTCGTGCCGGGATCACACCCAGAGCCTTCATGCTTAATATCAATTTTTATCTCAACTAATTAAGGTTTTACAATACAATAATTTAGGACCATATAACGTCAGATGTTAGGCATGCAGCTCGAAGAAGGCGTTCGAAAGCGCGAGGAGCACGAGGGGAAAAGCCGTCACTTGATCTCGCCTCGCAGCAGCAGCGGATGGAATACGGCACTTCATGGAACTGCTAGTTATGAGCGCTGGGTAAAATATATCGCGCTGGGATCCCTGGGCGTCTGGATGATCTTTGTGCTGTTTTTCTGGCACACCAGTGTCGCTCCTACACCAATTGCAAATCAAAGAACAACGAAAATCAAAATCAATAAGACGATACCTTCGAGCTTTCCCGAAAAGACTACATTCATTGCGTTTGGAGACTACGGTACAGGTGATACGTACCAACGCTCAGTGGCTTTGGCTCTTGAAAACTTCACAGCCACTATGGACCCTCCTCCAGCGTTTGTTTTATCAACTGGAGACCAGATCTACGACAATGGGTAAGTAAATATATGCATTTGATACTAGATAATAATTTACTGATGTTATGATTTGACGCTAAGAATCGGGTCTGCAGACGATGCTTTGCTCTCGACGAATTTCGAGCAGGTATGAATGATATCATACGTCACGAAGTTCTTTTCTTAGCAGACTAATGAAATATATTATGTTAGATGTATACGAACCTCAAGCTACAAGTCCCATGGTATGTTGCGATCGGAAATCATGACTGCGAAGGATCGATTGATGCAATGCTCCAATATGCGAAAAAGGAAGACTCGTTGTGGTATATGCCCCGTCGATACTACGTGGTTGACCGCCCTGTGGCACCAAAGACAATTTTGCGACTTGTTGTTATCGACGCTTGTGATCTGGTTTGTGGTCGTGAACCTCGTGACACTCGGTGCACTGAAAAAATGAACGAGCATTCCTCAGCAAAAACCAGAAAGTCGCAGTATGAGTGGATTGAAGAAACGCTAAGCGCTGGAAAACCAGTGGGCATAGAGCGAATGTGGACAATTGTCATGGGTCATTGGGGTGTGTACAGCTTTGCAGGAAATGGCAACACTCAGGAGCTGATTGACAAGTTGGATCCAATCATGAAAAAATACAAGGTCCACGCGTACTTTAATGGTCATGACCACGGCTTGCAACACATTCGAAAGATAAATGACGATGGCTCTTTTCGCAATTACTTTGTCTCGGGTGCTGGCGGCTACGAAATCCATCCGCTCAAGCCGAAAGCTCGCTCGAATCCGGATCTGGTGCACGCAGCCATAACACATGGCTTTATGTCCGTGCAAATGACCCAGACATATTTTCGTGTGCAACTCGTTGACATCAATAGCGAGATTCTTTACACTACAGACGTTACATACAGATAGAATCTACAAGGTATAATGACAACTTAAGAGCAAATTTAGTAAAAAATAAGTTCTGTGTTATTTATTTCGTGTGAGGTCTGACAGCACTCTCTAAATATAATGAAAAGTATGCCCCTTCAGCTCGTCTACACATCCTTCTTAAGCGAGTGCCAGCTAAATTCTTTAGCCTTAACAAGCTGCAGCACAAGCTGGTCCTCTTTGCGCTTTACCTTGACATCCGATATCTCATCGTACAGCTTAGACATAACAAGTAGACGCGTCTTGCCGTCGTAATTCTTGATCTTCACCGTGAGGCTTGTAGCTGTCCAATTGACGTCCGTGTCTTCATCTTTATGGAGACCGATGCCCGGTAATTTCAAATACACAGAAACGTACCTTTTTCCATCGGCCCAAGCGTAGTTAGTTATAGCGTCCGTCACTTCCGCGGACTGAGAGACCAGAGATTGGGTTTTAAGAAGGCGAGGCGCGGCATTTCCATCCCATTCGTGAATTTCCACATCTTCACGCCTCTTATGTGCGTAATAGTAGCTGTTAGTGCCTTTAGTCTTTATGTTGGACTGTAGCGCTGAAATTTTTTCGGCAAACGGTGTCAGCTGTGCGGTAGGATCCTCCATGATTCGCAGTTGATGCTGAAAAAAGCAAGAAATATAATGAGTGAGCAACTGTCTTTGCTTTACTTGGTCTTCTAGAATTACAATCAATGAGCAGATAATTGTACCAATCAGAATTTAATACAAACTTTTGCAGGGTGTCTGGCTTTATGTGGCGCAAAAATACAACTAAGACACTTTGGGATTGCTTTTTTACTGCAAGAACAATTTAAAAGTTGTTTTTTTCAACATTTTCTGTCGTATTGATTTAAAAGAATTGACTTAGAGTGCAGTTTCGCTGCCATCAGACGCAACCGATTACATCAACTCGCCAGTGCGTCACGGCATATTTGGAATCTGTTGTATAATCTATAAAAAGCGGTGTATCAATTTTATGATCAATAAAGCAGCTATACTTGAAAAGACTCGTACAGTATTCGCCAATGAGCTGTCCCTTGTGGTACGTCAACATAGAGGATCAGCTGATCAACAATCCAGCAGAGCATCCTGAGATGCTTGCCAACAAGTCGACGAGAGCGGAAACTTCTGTGCATGTAAAGGGGAACGTGCAGCTTACGCGTTGAACGTTCGTGCATAGTACAAATGCAATCCCGTAGTATCAGGACGTATGGATATGACAATATTTTCGTAAGGAAAAGAGATTTATGGTACCCATGGGCCAGCCTCACGTCAAGAAATTTAGATAGCATCATAAATTGACATAGTAAAGTGTATGAAATAAATGTCAGTATAGATATTAACGTCATGCTTATAATGGCAGAGCGGACTCGGTAACTGCTTCGCAATTCCGTGCAAAACCATTTCTGCGCGTTTGTCAACGCGAACATTTGGAGCTGAAGTATACTCAAAGCATGGTGTACGGCAACCCCGTTGCAGTTTACGGTCAAGACTTTTAAGGGCTGAAATGGATATACAAGCAGCTGCTTGATTATTTGTCATGGGGAGTTTACGTAACGGGGTACGTACGTATTGTACGATGATGTATGTACACCATACATGTCCGAATAAATTATTTGAAGCATCGTATGATACTCATATTACACTTTTGTGTAGTTGTCAATATTTAGAGATACCGATGAATTGGTATATTGAAGATAATGAATCTCCGTTAAGGAGATGTTCATAGTACATATGGGTAGCTAGCTTAGCGTTAAGCAATCATAACAGCTAAATGGCTGGGTATTGTAGGCTCTATTCTCTCAATATGAGCTTGTGGAAAAGAGCAGAGCTAGCTAATAACTAAGTCAGGGAAGAGGCTCACGGTCTCGCTTTTGGAATAAGTCTAAGAGCTGAATCTCTGCGTTTGTTCACGCGGTTTCATTGAGTTGAAGCTGTATCCGTGCAGAGTGCACAGCAACTCTATTGCATTTGTAGCATTTGTGATGAGACAGACGACGGAGTCGTGAATAGACGCTATGATGGTACACTAAATTATATGTCTTCGTGACAAGTAGACGTGTATAGAACACTAATGCTTTTGTGTAACGAAAATGGCCCATCCGTTTACACACTTTCTGCGGAAGGCTAAGGTCAAATGACACGCTTCACCTCGTGTTGCTCGCTTCTAGCGGTTCGTTGATGCAGCGGGTCTGCCGTAACTCTTTGCTTATAGGAAGCCAAGCTAAGGTCACCGATCTTACATTCTATACAAGAAATAGTACGAGTGTAGTGATTAGCAATCCGCTACCTACAAGAGTACCCAAAATCTTAACCCAAGGCGTATGAACTCTTTTGATCAAAATTGAAACTGTATTTAAATGTTTCATTTGCGGCAGAGCCGCCTATATCTAAAACCTTACCTTATCCCAATTAATTAGAAAATCCTAATCAATATGCATATCTACTTGAAGTCCCGCCACGTGATGACTTCTTGTTACGATGTAGTCACACCATTGTGTGATTACACTAACTTGTGTAATCCACACCTTGTACGGACACACCATCTTGTGTGACCCACCCTTTCGTACCAGGGTACTTGTTAGCTTCCCCCACCAAAATTGTAAATATATTTAACTGTCGCCTCGTACCAGGCTCGCGTGTCTAAGACACCTTCACGTTCCAAGGACCGTCTTAACGCATTCTCTACTCAATGAGCCCTATGTATATGACACGAGAGCGCCCAGTCTCGCTGGTTCTGCGGGTGCGCGCGGGCAGAGCCCTTCTTCGTCTTCTTCACGCGGTGCATCTCCGGACAGTACGTCCGCTGCTTCACGGAAAGCACATCCCAAGCCCTCGGCAATCGGGCGCCACACACCGCGCCTGCCACCGGCGATGGTTCATTTCATCGAGGATTTGGGGGAAGTCGACTACGAGTCGGATACTCGTTTAATCTTCCTTCACCCTAATATGATACCCAGCGGCACATCGCCAGCTTCTAGATTCCAAAGCAAAGAACATTGCTCATTATTGAGGTTACACGTCTCCTCAACCGCTGGTGCTTTAGGTGCAGTCAACATCCCAAATAAGTGACAACTTGTGATGATAGGAAGCGCTCGAGAAGCGACTTTCTCGTACTCCTTTCACTCTCAAGTGTGAGCAGAATGCCCGCATGAATGAGACTGCAAGGCTCCCGCTTCAGCGTGGCGAGGAACTTAAGCCAAATCAAAATCGTAATCACGACGTGATAATCGTGACAAGAGTAGGTGTGATTTTTGCTCTTGCAGATTGGCAAGCTGGGCCTAGTTGGTGTCCTGTAGGATATCATTTAAAACTTCACGGCAATAAGTTCTACCATCTCTCACCGCTGAAAAATGGCATGGAGTCGCAACACGTGTCGCCGTTGGAAAATGACATGGAATATGCTACTCATGCAGAGAGGGGGAACACTAATAGTATTTTTCTCGTTAAAAGGCTAGACCGTGTGTTTTTCTGCAGGCATTGAGTTAGGACTGGGAAAATCACCGGAGTCGTCTCTATTTAAGAACACCTCGTCATCCTCACCGAGAGCTTTGAAAGCGCAGGTGAATGTTTTATCGAGAGCCGCGGAGATATTAATTCAATTCTCGAGAGACACTCCCTCTGCAATTTTTCTCTGAGGAGCAGTCATAAAAGTGCAAAGGTGAGGCTAGGCACAAATCACAGTAGTTGTTACTTGGGCGCTCAATGATTAAAAATGACGAAAAAAGTGGAAAAAAATAGCGCGGTCCACATCTAGTGCAAGAGGGTGCATGAAAATCCTGTTCGCTATCGTCTGAAACCGTACAATTCGATGTAATTGTATTAAACTGTTCAGCTTTAATTGGCTTTTGTGAAATTGCGGACATTTATACGCACCGTCTATAATGATGGTAAAACATTTTAGTGAAGATGCCCGTGATACACTTTAACTGTCAGTCACGCGTCAAGTTATTGTACTTGGCTATCCGATACCGAACTAAACATGTCACGCATGCTAGCGCTTGAGAGGAAGACTGCTTAGAAATGCGGTAAAATTGAAGTTGAATTCAAGAAGATTATGGTTACCAAAGCTACATGAATAAAACCACTAGACATCTAGAAGGTATATGTATAAACTCTACACAAGCAGAAGTGAGCTTATGAATCTGATATATAAAGCCTTTCGTACACTGAGGTTGAACCCAGGGGAGCCTTGGGCAAATTAACTTTCTTCGTTGAAAATTCCTGACAAAGTGACTGGCTTGGCTCCCACCCTTCACTTTCACACAGTGAAGGCTTGTTGGTCTCATCACCAGTGTAGATCTTCAAGTAAGAACCATCATTCTGTACCAACAATAATAACTTTGTAATCATTAGAACAGAGGACATTTGTGGCATCATCCAATAATGTCGCGCGTGCACTGGGATCTGTCGCACTGCCCTTTTTTTGTCTCCGCAATGCTCGTCGATGGTGATGTGTGCTACAGACATATACCGTTACGTAATGATTAAGTATGACCCATTACAGTAATACAGACAGTTTGGTAATGAGATATGGTAAAACGCATAAGCTTCGTATCAGTCTGACCAAAATTAACTTGAATTTATATGATGTGGCTTTGTTTACTAAATCTCTAAGTTTATTGGAGACTATACGGTTTGCTTCTGGCTAGAGCGTACGAAGTAAAATTTTGTGCGTCTATTAACGCGGACTTTTCCAGTCAAAGATATCTCTGCAAAACTCACAGCAACCCCACTGCAACAAGTGCCACAACCCTTTAGTCATATAGCAGTCCAAACAAGTACGGTCCACACACTATTGTCACTTACTGTGTTCATGATTGCGCCGTCCTCGAAACCCTGTATTAAAGGCCGAGCGCGCTGTATTGTAAGCTAGATTGGAAGAAGACCTTGCCAATGCTTGAGGTCATTGCTTTATAGTACAGACGAGGGTTGGTTTCCGAGAGTCTTAGCTGTATCAGCTGAAGCTGTGGAAGCAGGGAAGTGTCGAGAGAGCGTCTGCTTGAGAGATTAGAAGTCTCGACAATGGCCACTTCATTCAGCTCCCATATGTAGAGAGTATTGCCATGGGATCAGGTGGAAGCAGGCGATTGTTGAAATTCATTTACGAATGTGAAGCGCAATATGGGAGAGCGACTTTTGTTAATCAGCCTATGTGCAGCGGGGCTGCCATAGCTCTTTGCTTAGAGGAAGCTATGCTAAGGTAACCGACGGTACGTGCTTTACAAGAACCAGTAAGAGTGCAGCGGATTGCAATCCGCTGCCGCCAAGAGTACTTAAAACCTTAGCCAAGGTAAGTGAACTTTTCCGTTTAAAATTGAAATTGTTTTAGTTGCGGCAGAGCCGCCGATATCTTAAACCTTAGGTTTTCCTAATTTATATAGTAATATTTAAGTAATGTAGTAAAACCTAGTTAACATAGTAAGACCTAAAAAATAGAGGAGTACGTGTAACCCCGTTACACTATGGGCTAAGTATTAATACGTTTCGTCGACAGATTTACATTCTAAAGTCCAAGTATTTGAAAATTTAAACAATTCTTATGTTGCTCAAGTTTCTTTAACGGATTTTTATCTTACTAGACAAGAAGGACCGGCTGTCTGCGCACCATGACAAGTCCCAGCACAGAGTTGCGGCGTCATGAGCGCGTATCTTCACCCGCTGCGTCTCCTTCGAGCCGAAGTAACTCTCGTAAGCGCTCGCACAATGCTTACGAGTCAGATGTCCACAAGTCGTCTAACTCCTGCACTGACGGCATCTCAAGTGCCAAGAAAAGTAGAATTGACAAATCTAGTAGCTCTACTGGCAACGTTGGCAACAATAAAAACGTCAGTTTGAGTGTTATCATGGTATTTCGAGCTACTGCAACGCTTAACGATCGTAATATCATGTTTCCAGGCGTCGGACCGCTTCATTCCGACACGCAGCGCCATGAATTTAGATCTAGTACAATGCAACTCGCCCGACACAGCGGCGGCAATCGAGGCAGCGACAAACAATTACAAAAAAAGTCCTAGTCGTTCTGGAGGACCTTCAGCCTCTGGTAGTACAGTCCAAGACGAGGAGAAGCAGATTTACAAGAAGCGCCTGGCCAGCGCGCTACTGGGAAAAGATGACGACTCAAACCACAAAATTTTAAAGTTCACAAAGGCTAAGCCAGCCGTGGCCCCTCCAGAATCATTTAAATCCACGCTCTCAGCCAGGTTTTCTCACAACAAGGTGAGCATTGTTCCCGCGGCCGCAGCAAAAAAGCTGAATCGTCACGTCCCCTCAGCCCCAATCAAGGTGTTGGATGCGCCCGATTTAATGAACGACTATTATCTAAATTTGCTGTCATGGGGAGCCAACAACATCCTCGCGGTGGCTTTAGGACAGTGCGTTTACCTTTGGAATGCCGTTTCTGGTGAAATAAATGAGCTTATGGGTCTAGAGGGAGACGAGTATGTAAGTTCAGTGCAGTGGAGTGATGCAGCAGGTGGATCGGCGCATTTGGCTATCGGCACAAGCGAGTCAGTTGTACAACTATGGGATATCACTGCTTCACGCCAAGTTCGAACAATGAACGGACATGCATCGCGCGTGGGTGCGCTGGCTTGGAATACTTACGTATTATCATCAGGATCGCGGGACAGCTTAATCATTCACCATGATGTACGCGCACGACATCACCAATTGTCAACGTTGACGAGCCATGAACAAGAAGTGTGTGGCTTGCAATGGTCTCCAGATGGTACGATGCTTGCTTCTGGTGGAAATGATAATGCGCTGTGCCTGTGGAATGCAGGAAACATCGGCACAAGTCGCGGCACTCAAACTCCTGCGCATCGGCTAGAACAGCACACAGCTGCTGTAAAAGCAATTGCATGGTGCCCGTGGGAACGCAACCTGCTTGCTACTGGTGGAGGTACTGCCGATCGCACGATCAAGTTCTGGAATACGACGAATGGAGCTATGCTTAACTCTGTTGACACTGGATCACAGGTGTGCTCGCTTTTGTGGTCAAATACAGAAAAAGAGTTATTGTCGTCCCACGGATACTCGCAAAATGAGTTATGTTTGTGGAAATACCCAAGCATGACAAAGGTGAAGGAGCTTACTGGTCACACGTCTCGTGTACTTCACTTGGCAGCATCACCTGATGGCGAGACAGTGGTTTCTGGTGCAGCAGATGAAACATTGCGATTTTGGAAGGTATTTGGCCCCAACCGAAAGGCGCGAAAGGCTGGCTCAAGTACGACTGAGCTGAGTAGTTCGTCTTTGTCGAGCGTCATGAGCATCCGATAAAGTAGCAGCCTTTTCTTAAGAAATGCAATAGGAAAGCCGTGAGTTGTGCGACGGAGTCTCAATGTGAATGCTTTTGGTGTCATGCGGTGGGTTCTGCTTGGTTCAGCTCGTCGACATGCCAAAAAAAATCATTTTGTAGCGTAGAATAGAATTTTCTTAGGCTTAAACTGACTTCGCTTTTGACGCATAGTGACAGGTTCGTGTTTTATTGAACGAGCTACGAGAGCTTGACGAAAAATGTAGACAGAAATGATGCTAGTGACTTATAATTAAGTTTGTGATTGTCCGTTTGCTCAGCCCCGTGTGCTTAAATTCCAAGTGTCGAGAATAGCACCAAAGTTTAATTTCATTATTCTTAGAGTTGATCATAGTTGATCATACAAGTCCCTTGATAGTCAAAAGCGAGGCCATAAGTCGATCGAGATGAATGATGCACCACGTGATGTCACACGACAAGCTGAACTAGTCGTGATGGACTGCCTGAAAAGTTGGAATTGTCCGCGGTCATTGAATGCGATGACAGAGAAAATGTCTACATTAAACGCGTCAGCAAATGCAACCGAGCGCTCTTCAAATGATATTAAAGCTAGAAAAGAGGGATCAAAGATTCGCGTGCGTCTTATGGAGTATTTACATAGCATCACCAAAGGTACTGAAGACATGTCTAGCTTAAGCATACCACAACAATTAGACCCAAGGGCTTTAGTTGCTACAGTAAAAGTGACAGAGTCTGAAATGAAGTGGACGAGCGAAGAAGTTCGTGCATTAAAGAAGGCTATGAAAACTACTAGATCCGAGGCTAACAAATATGCTCGATGGAAAGAAATCGCGGTACAGGTTGGAAATAATAAGACAAAGAAACACTGCTACCTGAAGTACAAAGAGCTCAAGCAAGAGAGAGCCACAGTCGCAGCGAAGAATGGGTCCTCCCGCCCCAAAAACGCCATCATAAACAGAAAAGATTTCAATGATACGACTTTAAGTGACTTCGCACCGGACAGAGTACGAGCGGAAGGCAACATGATCATGTCTGAGGTCGAAATGATGAAGAAAGTCGATATATCTTCGAATCAATATTTCATGGCATCAACACTTTTTGATAAGGTGTCGGCATCTTTAGTTGTATCTCAACAATCTACAGAAGGAAGGTCTACGTTCGAGGCCCTTGAGATTGAGGATTGCGAGGATATGGGATCGCATTTCAGTTTAACAAAAACAGGTCAAGTTCATTCGATTCAAGCAAGCAGTGACGTCAAATTTACCTTTGAAAGCACAATGCGCGGTTTGACCTCGTCGGATGTTTCCACAGTGCAACAGCTACTCTTTGGCTCAAGCAAGAAATCGTTTAGTAGTCACTGGTATGAACAGGTAATGCGATTTTTGGCATCATTGCACAGTAGTATCACTCACAACTAAACGCCTCAGGGTTTCGTGTTCTCTACAATACAAGATCTACAGTACGGCTTAATTCAGCATCAGGGTGGCCCATGTGGTGTCTTGGCGGTCGTTCAAGGCTATGTGCTTCGTTTTCTGCTGCTAGAAGGCCAAAATGACTGGAAAAACGTAAGTGCATTTTCATTGGTATGATGAGGAAGAGAGTGTATAGCCTATCTGACCTTATACAGTCAGGAATTCTGCAATTAGAACGCGTTTTGGCTCAAGCTTTGGCCTTTATTCTTTGGCAATCTGCTGTAGCTTCGCAAGCATCCAAGTGTGTCGTTGTCATAAAAAATAATGCCAGGAGTAAACAATGCAGTTTCATGGCTAGCTTGAAGCTTCATATCGCTTCTAGTGAAGAACAAACGCGGCAGATTATCACTGCTTACATTTCACAGTTTACAGACCCTAAGGGATCTGGTCTTGTTCAGTTTATACTCTCCGTTCTTTTTACAAAGGGCGTCGAACTGATCTACAGTGAAATGGATCAGCTCGCACGCGACACAGGTGGCCAATTGATCGGTGCCCATGACTATTGCACACAAGAGCTCGTCAATCTATTAATCTGCGGTTACGCGCGCAGTAATGTATTCGATGGCGATCAAAATCTTGGAGACACAAATACATCCGATTCAGACGCCCTACTGCTATGTGGCATCCCCAGTCAGCCCGTCCTCGGCTTCCTTTCTCTTTTTGAGGCGTATGGAAACCTTGTCGTTGGGTCGTTCCTTAAACACCCTCGAGTCAACATTTGGGTCGTTTGTAGTGAGTCGCACTACTCGGTTCTCTTTGCAGCAGACCCAGGAGCAGTGGATGATAGAACATTTGACATCCGTCCAAGCGTCGACCTGCTCTATTATGACGGACTTGCTTTTCAAGACAAAGAGATTCACCTAACTGTGAATACCTTGGCACTGGTCGATTGTATTACTACAGTGAGTCACGACGACCTCATTCCACCGCTTGATCTCGTGATCCGTACAAAGTGGCCCCGGGCGACTGTGGAGTGGAATGGGACCGAGCCTTTGCTTTGAAATAGCTAATGTATTTATCAGAGCTTTTGAAATAATTTGCTAAGATTTCGGATCAGGACTTGTTCATAACACTTCGCATCCATTTCTGAGCATGTGGCTACTTTTTATTGTGTCATTCCTGTTCACCTGTGTTTGATGCTGGTGCTTAATAGCGTTCAACTCTTTCTGATTGCATTACTTTTACTGGAACTTCAGCAGCATTAAAGCAGCGCCACTCCTCTAGACATTGTGCTCCGATCACAAAACGACGCGCTCATCTCGTATATGACGCCATGTTTATCTAATAGCGAAGTAGTCTCGTATTTTGTGCTAAGTTGAAAGTGTTTACGACCGTCTTGACGACCGAGCCGAAAATCATGGCGCAAATATGCAGCTTTTTTGTGCTGATTAAAATGTGCTACGAGTCATACGAACGCTACTTTCACGCTGATCTCGACAACCGTTATGTGGAATTTCCCGTGGTATGTCTTGTTCTAAAAATTGTACCGTACACAAGAAGTGATTTGCCATTATGAAGAGGTTTTGAAAAAAGAGGTAGTAAGTAACGGAAATAGTGATCGGTCTTTTAGTTATT